TCTACGCTTTGTGTTTTAGTGGTTTCACGTCTAAGAACAACACCACCAAGAAGATTGACAACAACAATGGATGTGGTAATAGAACTTCTTGTTCTTATTTCCAGAAAAGTTAATTATTATTTGTGTTCTGTCTTTCAAAGCCAAGGGACAAGAAAATAGACAACAATCGGGGCTTACTTTCATGGCCTGCTATTTTAGAAACACTGGTGAAATCGAGCACAACTGGTGATTCGTATGGACTCTTATCCTGATCCTGGTGATGGTATTTGAAAGCACCATACAAGCACAAGGGATATTGAAATGATTAGTCTCCAGCTGGTGTGTATTGACCCTAGACTGTAGCAAAAACATTGCAGAAATCTGCTGGACAGTCAGGGACACTAGGACATCCTAGAGAGGGGATTGCAGGGAAGAGTGACAACCTGGATGCTAAAGAACTGGAGGGATTGATTTGGAGGCAAGACTGGACAAAGAGGGATTGGATTTACGGCATTTATAATTTTATATTATTTATGAGGAATTCATTTATTTCATTCTTACAATTTAGCATTTTTTCCTTGTTAATGACCTTTTCATTGTATCCTAATTGTGAAGAAGTCTGTAAATTCTGTGTCAATCTGACTCTATTTTAAGTTTAATAATGAGTGATCCGTGATGATGGTTTACAGGTACATATGATGAATTAGTACTCAGGGCACTGTAAGTACGTGTGTGTATAATGACAGCTGCTCTGGGGAAATTACTTTCTTTGCTGTGATCTGACTGATGGGTCTAATGAGTGGTGGAGCGAGCACAATATGCAAAGGTATGATTACGGGCGTATTTTCATTTATTTACGGCGAACTGTGAGAGTGGAAATGTTCCAATGCAATGATTTAGAATTATAAAACAGAATCAGCCGCACACACAGCTTTATAAACCTGATGAAAAGAATGCATATTTCCGTCTTTGTGCATACACCTTGTGTTAAATCAACACAGAGATGCCAGATGCAGTTTTATGCATCTGGCACAAGAACTTTTAGAATCTGCCAAGACTAGTGGTGACATAGTCTTTATAACTCATGGAGGGATTGCTTGAGCAGCATGAGCTCTTGGAAACTCCGTAGCTCTGGCAGACAGAAAATAAATTGATTCTGGAAACTTATTTGCTGAAACTGAACAGGACCCTGTCAGTATCCCTGACATCTGCAGATGCCAATCTGTGGACACTAGCCATGCAGCTAAGAAAGCCCACAGCCAGCCTTCACTTACCCTGCTGGTGTGACAGCATTTTCGAGAGCTAATGTACAGACAGCAATCTATCAATGCAGATAGCTTAAAACTGTAGTAAGGAATATGTCCTCCAGACTGTAGTCAAAAGTAAAACCACAAGAGACACTTCTCCACACTTTTTGTTAACAACTCTTTGCTTTCCAAACCATGACTGTGGAACGCGCAAGCTCTTTCTTCTGCATGTGCAGTAAGCATTTATTTGTTCATTTGCAGGTTCAAGGACGTCCAGGTTTCATAGGTTAAGAACTGCATTTTGACTGTATTTCAATGGCTAGCAGGTCCTAACATGTTGAAATATATAACTAAAAACTACATATTCATTTCAAATGTACTCCAGTTTTAATCAAAAAGTTTTTACAGCTATGCATATACACACAGAAATGTGTCTGGATGATATTTAAGTACATGCTGAATTATATTCAATGAGTTCCAAAGGTTGCCTATTGGAAATCCATTATTATCGTTCTGTAATTTCACCCTACATTGTCTCACCATAGAAATCTATCTTGAGTTAATAGGTAGCTGTCGATAAGCAATCACAGATGTTGAAAAACACGCAGAAGAACTGACATTTTGGTTGTCATTGTTGTCATTCATAAAATTGATATGTGATCCTCCTTTTTTCCATTTCTCTCTTTCATGCGCGGACACACAAGAAGATATAGTATAAATCAAATGAGGATGATTTGCTCAAAATGTATTCTTTCAAAATGATTGATAGCACTAATTGAAAAGTGACATAATGGAAAGCTTGAAAGTAATTGCTCCAAGGTTCTTGTCGATGTTTGAGGAAATGAGCAAATCGTTATCGACAGACTTGCCAATAAAGTTTTGAATGATGATGAAGTTCTTTTGCACCAGTCAAACACGCAGGGAGAGAAGAAAAACGCCATCCATGACGCAAATCACTCTGACAGCAGTGAGCAGGGATGAAAAGACTCTCTGTCTCTGAAATTGACTGTTTGTTCTGAAGCTACTGCAGTCCAAGAGACTTGTAAAGGAAGTTCAGGAGGTCACTAGTCCAGTTAGTCAATTAATCATATCGACTGACTTATCGACCCACCATCCTTTTGATTGCTGGAGTCACAGAAGCAGGTGAGTCCAGAGTGATCAATCTCTAACAACCACAGGCCGTGTCTCAAGCTGATAAACGAGTGGCTGCAGCGATCTGATATTGAGCTGAAATCAATGCACACACATCAGTACAAAGATTTTGATGCATCTTTTAAATGTAGAGGTTAAGAGTTTTATTTTGCTTTGGTCAGATGAAAATCTTACAAGAGCACCTTTTCCATACAACGGAAAAGGCTTTGAGGATGAGGAACCAATGTCTTTAAAGGTATAGTTATTTAAAGCTTTGAATGGGTTGATAGGGTTCTGGAGGCTTTGGCGTGGCCTGTTGCGGGGTGGTGTAATGTCTTTTAATGGGGTCCAAAATCCCTGGTATCGCCCCTGAGGAGAAAGGAGGGAGACTGGAAGGAAATAATAGGAATAAATGGAGTTTCTGGTGTGTTCAGTCAGAGGCTGAACACAAACACACTGGCACAATTCCACAGACATGGTCCGTGTGTCTTTCAAGAGCTAGCTTACAGCTGATGTCCCGCCGGCAGACTGGCTTTTTGATGCTTTTTGTCTGAACGCACCTTGAGCTTTCTGGTGCCCACTCAAACCTCACTGAATTTGGAGATGGCAAGAAAACAAACTAAAACTAGAAAACACAGATCATAAAAACTCTGTGAAGGCTGAACACACTCTAAATGTGTTATCAAAATGTATTTTTTTTTATGTTTTAAAAATGTTTAACCTGCATTTGCATAAAAATACAGAGACAGATGTACCAGGAGTCAAATCCCAAGTGTACCAAAGTGTTATACCTTGTTTTTTTACAGCATAAATTGGGCAATACTTTGATACAGTTGAGAAATGTGGCTGTTATAATACTGTAAATCCACTCGTACAGTACATTAACAGTATTTTGTAGTGGAATAGTTAAAATGAATAAACAAACACAGCAGGTAAGAGTAATGGCCAACAAAACTATGACTGTTAACACCTGTAAACACTCAAAAACACCTTTTACACCAATTTCATCAAGTGATTTTTGGTGATATCAAGCAGGAACATAGTGACACCTTACCGTTACATGAACCTCAATACCTCCTTATGTGTGTGTGACAAAGGGTGCATGTGTGTGAGTGTTACAGTGTGCGTGCGTGTCACATGCATCATCAGTGAATGTGACAGAGTGCTTACTGTTGTAGCAGAGAAGTGCAGAGCGAACGTCCGGGGGAGAAAGGCTGCTGAACTGTGCTGTCCAGGGATCACACTGAGCAATCGGACCACAATGCACTGCAGCTGCAATCGATTTAGGAGCGAGCGAGTGTGTGTGTGTGTGTGTGTGTGAGTATGGGTGTTTGTGTGGCGGCCCCATAACAGAAAGGTCACAGGTTTGATCCCTGAGGAAGTAAGAGACAAGACTTCCATTAGAGAAAGGACTCCTGCACTGTTTGAACCCGCCACTCTGCTCAGAGTTGTTTGGAGGAAGTTTGGTGACTAAAAGAAAGTTTTGAAACATGGAAACATGTTTAGGATTTAAATCCTGGACTTTGTCCTTGAGGAAGATTTTAAATATCAGTAAAAACTTTTATAGTGACATTAGAGGAAATATGGTGCAATCAATCACCAATGTGTTTATTTGTCAAAATAATTAGAGTAAAAATGCTGTTGTGATTATTTTAGTTTCCTCTTTATTTCCTCTTAATAAGTTGTTTTTTGTCCTCCATCCTTGAAAACCCATTATAAAAAAATAATAAATTAGGAACGACTGCATTAAATTACTAAATAAATGAAAGATCAAAACTAATTAAAATGAATGAATGAAAGGTATTCATAAAATACAAATAAATAAAATAAAAAACATGAATAACATCTGATAAAAACGGAAAAATAAACAAATGTGTCGAGAAAGAACGTCCACATTATATTAACTTTTTATGTCGATTTACTTACCCTCAACAGAATTATTTTCCTTAAGTATAATTGTATTCATTGTTGTGTACCTGCTGTACTCTTATTAAACTTCCATACCACCATTCTGAATTTCATTATACAACCCTGCACTGTAAATGACAATTAAATAACCTTGAATCACCTCTCTTTTTTCATTTATATATTTTCAGTTTATTTGATTATAATATTTAGTCATTAACTTATGTATTTATTTACTCCATTATAAGTCAGCTTTGGTTTTCCATAGAGTTTAAAGTTTACAGTAAGTAAGAACCACTTTTTATTTTTGACAACCTGTTCAATCCAGTTTTCTCTGGGGAAACGCTCCATCAAAACTGTACTGTATTTAATTTAATGGCTGCCTGTTTTTTGTTTTATGAGCGAGTTGAGGAAGTACTCTGCTGAACAGAGTATCCGGTACAGATAGTGTACTTTTTACGAGTACCAAAGAGTATCAAACGACTAAAATGTGTCAATGTCTGTACTCGTAAATATACTTTTATTTAAAAACATTTGTAAATAGTTTTCCAATAAATGTAGCAACTTCTGATCAATCTATAACAATTTTAATACTTATATTTACAACTTACGGTTAGTCTCACGCCTTCCGAGTACAAAACTGATCATTTAGTTGGTTGAACAGATGCAGATAATGGTGTACTTGCTCATCCCTAATTTATGAAATAAACACAGAACACTGACATTTTGAAAAGAGAACGACTCAAATTCTACTTTATTATAAAACAGTGGAGGCCATCTTTGCATTTTTCATTAATAAGCTGCTCTAATGTTACTGTATAATGCAGTCAGCGTCACAGACAGCAGTGTGACTACAGAAGCTTACAGCTCAGCATAAGAGGGAACAATTTCACACACACACACACACACACACACGACACAAACACAGAAATATGAGTGTTTTAAACATTTCTACCCACTTGTTGGGGAATTCACTGACTTTTCTGACTTATGTAACCTTAAGAAGAGAGCAACCTGTAACTGATGGCTCCTTATTTTGCAAAGTAGCTGCAAGAATTTACAAAGTATTACCCATTTCTATCTCTGTTTAGCTGCTTATAATTAACCATACAGTAGGTGATCACATTTATGATCAATATCTGCGCACACACACACACACACTATGAAGTTCTCGAGGACCACTAGCTGCTGCTTTAAGCACACATGCACACGCTTGCACATAGCAGTTGCCTACTTTCTCAGGTGATTAGTGTTTATGATTATCATGCAGCAGTAATTTTCATAGGAACAAATACTAAACATCCATTTTAGGTTCATTAAATATCTAATTTGTGGAACTCAGTGCCTTAATACCCTGTATTCATAAGGAGATGATCAATATTTTCACATTTACGTTTTGGCATCTTATTGCCTACAATAAGACAAAACTAAAAATCTCAATCCATCAACCCTTTCACAATTCACGCCATTATAAAGCTTAAAAAGCTTTGTTTAAGACAAAAATGATACATTAATAATACCTGATATTAGCTTATATCAGTATCTTATTCACTTCTCTAGATCTAGATAAACTGTTTATTATCGTCTGACCAGCAGTTAATGTATCCTCAAAAATATCCGCTTGTGTGTCGACACACCCATTAAAGTGCTATATACAATACAGCATCTTATCTGTACATTTTCATAAAAACATACAAGCACAACTAAAACGTCAGCTGACATTTCCCTGATTTTATATCACTTCATTAACAGCAACAAGGCATGGGCATTTACAGTGTACAGAAACGTAAGCCAATGCGTGCACACGTCTGAACATGCACGCATTCACAGCTAAATTAGTCTCAGTAAAAGTTTGCAGTAGCTACCAGCAGAAAACATAAATTCTCATTATTCATATAATAATAAAAAAAACATAAATAGCAATTGTTCAAGTAAATAGTGTGACTCATTCAACAAGCTGATCCTTAAGCTAATGATGACACTGGTATGAATAGGTATTCACATTTCGTAAAGTGAGGCACATATATACTGCTTTATGTTCCTCCATTCATTAAAAAGCATCACTGTATCTGGGTCCTTGGAGCGATGAGTCATCCAAGCAGGTCTGTATTGGCCTGTTGATCCAAAGTCAGGAGCTCTGCAGTAGTTAATGTCCCCCCACCTTTACTTCCTGAGAGGCAAAAAAAAATCTGTGTTGTAACTGCAAATCCTATACTGACATATAGGAGGAAAAGTGAAAATTCTGATTTTCTTTGCACCAATAATTTTTTTTTACCATTGTTACATTAGCAAAATAGCATTTTCTTTATCTCTGCAATCAATTGTGTGTCCAGCCACAACAGGTAGCTGTTTTCAGTCAGTTAGCTTGTGGAGTTTTTCTGCCCTCAAGTGGCCAAAAATCAGCTAATGTAACTTTAATAATAACTGATAATAATAATAATCTTTTTTTGTGGGGCACTTAACAACAAGCTTTATGCAACAGATTAACAACAACAACCGCCACAAAGTACAGGTAAATAAAAGAACTAGTTATAATAATAATAATAATAATAATAATAATAATAATAATAATAATAATAGTAATATTAATAGTTATAGTAATATTTTATATATATC